TTAATATGACTGATTCAACAGAAAATTATGAATTAAAAAATATATAATATCATACATAGTACCTAGGTATTTTAATAATACAAAAGAATATATCAATGTAAAGTTACATAATCATTGTTATACTCTGTTATTCACGATGGTATAATGTCATATTTGAATTTATTTATGCAATTTAGTTCATAATACGATAGCTTGTCAAAAGTAAACATTGCTTTACCATTATATTAATTTTAATTAAATCTTTCACACGCACAGTCAATATAAACAGTATAAATACGAGTACTTACCTATACAGATACGAATATGTTATTATCATTAAATATTAAAGTTGGTGGTAATTTAAAAACATGTTAAGCAGAACAATAATTTGTTATTAACCACTATATAGTTTACTATAAGCATTGCATTTATTGCTGTGTTTGATTTTTAACATTCAATTTACTCCTTATCATATCATAACAAAATTATAACGATGTTTGTTAATGCAATAGCAATAAGCAATATACAAACAGTTTACATTACTGCTATAAAATATAATGTGGAAGCGTAGTAAAATAGTATACATAAATAATGTGTTTACATACACAAATAAACATAATAATAATATTATCATCCATAATCTCACAATCAATCTAAATTTTAACAATTTCTGTGTAATTATAAGAAAAAAGGGTGCGCGAATATATTACGTTTATCCAAATACAGTCAAACTTGGTTAACTCGAAGCTGAAGGGACCGGAAAAAAGTTCAAGTTATCCAAATTGAAAATTTTTAAAACAGAACACAATATAATATTCATTCCTATATATTTATTATGAATAAAGTAATGTAATAAAAAATAGTAGTTACTGTGTATTTATACATGAATCATGTGTATGTAATTTTAAAGAGCTATGTATATCTATGTATAAATAAAAATGAGAATAGAAAATTATTTTAAAAGGGATCGTAATGAATCGTTTTAAACTATTCATCGGTAACTATAACACTAATGAGTAATAACCTTATTTTCGATATTAAAATTTAATAAATATATACATAGGTACACAAGGGAAATATCACAATTTTATAATATTAATAAAAATAAAAATTTCCAGTTATCCACGAAAATATTTAAGTTAAAAAAGATTTTTTACATTGTTTAAATAGGATATTCTACGATTTAGAGTTAAATAATTTCAAGATAATCAAGTTTTTATATTGTATTAAAAACTATAAAACGTGAAGATTTCATCAAGTTTTGCTGCGAAGTCAATATTATTTGAATAATAATTAAACTCGATCGTTTAAATTACGAGTGAAAATAATAAAAAAAAATAAACAAATATTACGTGATACGCACGCACACATTGCATTACGATACTAATCAAGTATCTATCTGTCTACAGCCCTGTGTGAAATTTGTCGTCGATGGTTTCCATACGACTATATTTACGTTATGAGACCACCGCTGCATTGTCGCGATGTACGATCGAAGAGGAGTTAAATAAAATTTACGTTCGCCGACACCAAATATTTATTCTTATAAACAGTCGTGGAAATCGCACACCGTGGGTCGGAGTTTTTGTTCGTTAAAACATGTTGTCGACCGCGCCGAATCGGTGCGTGACGGCCATAGAAGGAGCTGCGAAAACATCGTTTCTTGCTCATAGTTCAAAATATTACACGCGTGGCTAACAGCCATAACACTCTGTCGAATGGCGACAGGAGACCGAGTGAGCGCAGATTTTTCTCCACATTCAATTTTTTTTTTTTTTTTTTTTGTTAATCTTTCGAGTTCTAACATCATATACCTACACACGGATCACTGCGTCATTTTCTATAATAATATGGTGTACGTGTACAGTATACCCCACGTATATGTGTTATGCACACTCGCATTATACAATACGGGTATACACACGTTACAAAATAATATAATGCCCGGCACCCTGAAAAGAGAGTTGAAAACGGCCAAATCCGCATCGGTCGCACTTATATATTATGTGTATGGAGAGAGAAAGATTCGCGCGAGTGAGTGTACCTTTACCGACCGACGTGTGGGTCGTGCATACTCGTAGTATAAAAATGTTTCTTTTCTTCGATTCATCTTTAAATCCATCGCTGCACCAGCGACCGACCGACCGACCGACCCGACGCCCATTGATCATTGCTCGAAAATCCGAATTTATTCACACTCGGACGATTACTTACATCACACAAACACTCACACGTACACATTTACACGTATGAAAAGGTTCTGGGAAAAAAAAATTAACCCCTCCGCGCGCGCTCATCCCTTTTCCGTCGCAGTGATGTTCGGTCCTCCTAACCTAACCATACAATGGGTACCTACACGCGGGACGCACCGACAAAAAAAATTCCGTCTGCCCCGTACGAGGGCCGAAACGAATCCGCAGCTGCCCCCGACCGTTGTGTGGACCTGATTCTTCTTCTTTTTTTCATCGTTTTTATTTTTTTCCTCCTTTTCACGCAAACAACTCGTATCGTATAATGTAGTGTGTATGTGGCACAGTTATTGTACGCGCCGTGTATACAACACACGCCACGGTCCTATGTTGACGTTATACTTGATTAATTTTTCGAGACCTATCTTTTTATTTTTCAGTGAACGAACTAACGGTTGAAAAAAAATTATAGTTCCTCCTCCCTCTTTTCAACACGCGTCCGATACACTCGGATTTTTATGACGGCGATAATGACAAACGACGATGATTACGATGATTATGGTAGTTCACATATACATTGTTCTTGCACGAGATGGCGTTGTACACTGAGGAGATTCTTGACAAGTCCCAAGGGCAGCAAAAGGACGGGAAAAACATTTTGAATATTTAAATACAAACAAACCTCTCTTTTGTCTGTTAATGGATACACGATGAGAAATAAACTTATATGCTATATACTTTATACCTATATTTATGAAATAATTTGTATTTATAATAAATATTAAATGTTTTGATAAATATAGTGAATATTTATTTTATTTACTTAGACCTTTTTTTATTCTAGTAGGGTCGCCGGAAGGGGGAGGAGCTTCCCATAAAATCACTAATGGTTGTGCGCCTATAGATGACAAAACACTATGATATATTACAAATTAAAATATGTACACGGTAATTTTTTTGTTAAGCATCCATAAGAACGTCGAATTAATCCGTTAAACGTTTACAACCTAAAACGGTCAAACGAATAACGAAAATAAGAATTATGGGTGTGTTAGAGTTTTTTGCACTGTTAGAGCTTCGAAAAACTATGAATTCACATTAAAATCCAGAACACGACGTTGTTTTTTCGTCTTAACAGTTGACAATATAATATGCGAATTAATATTCCGAGTATCATGTTAATGAATTTTGATATCAAACGGCATAAGATAAACACGTTTTAGTGCATATGTCATTCAAGATAAATGGTCTATTGATTGTTAATGCGATTGTAACTTGTATAATATAATTCAAGATCAGATCGATCATTGATCAAGATAAATAAATACCAAAACATAATAAATTTATACAATTTAATATTGTAATTTATAAGCATTTGAAAATAGAGACCATTTTATAGTTTACTCCGATGATTTAATATAGTTATCTACATACCTATACTTTAGTATCACCTAATTAAGTACGTACAAGATTTTTGTTCTAAAGTCTGATTTGTTAGTATTTTAATTTTTAAGCCAATTTAAAACATAACATTCACATTATAATTAATTTAAATCCACGAGTAGGTATCTATATTGCACGCAGCCAATATAATATTCGTAATTTGTTTAAGTTACTATTAAGACTTAATAATTATCTTAATTTCATACTTTATAATAGTTTATGACATGCAGTTTGTCGTTATTTAATTGTCAGATGTATTTCGATATTATTCTAAGCCACAGTGTGCATTATCATTTTAGGTACATTTTAGTTATCTGTCTTCTGTTTGATATTAATATTATAATAGTTCGCTATACTGATTATAACAAAAATAATCTATTTATCAATCATATATTTATGTTTTTATTAAAATTACATTGGATGTTGATAAAATAAGTATAATACAGTTTCTGATAACACATTGGCTTATATTTAATTGTTCTATATTAAGAAGATTACTATTTTGATAGACATATAAGGTGTGCTGTACTGAACAAACTAAATATTATAAAAACTATAATTTTTTTGTAACGTATAATATAAAATATATTAATTTACAATCACTGACTTATCCCATTAAATATTGTGATTGTAACCTATGTATGATAAAAATTAATATTATTTACATCAGTGTAAGTTGAACTCATTAATTTTATTTCATTTAATTAAATTATTATTTTAAAATAATATGTTATATAGTTAGTTGGTTCTATATCATGTTTTAAGAATAGTATTAAAAATATATATTGTAGTATTTATATTAATCACTCACTAATTGCAACTTTTTAACGTCTATTTAGATAAGTAAAATATTATATAATATAAACATTATATTCTCGTTCACCTTCTTCAATATACAAATTATAAAGTACTCCACTTAATAATAACATCAGCTTCAATAATTTATTGGGCAAGTTTATCATCTAAGTATCTACACAGCCAATTAATATGAAATTAGTTATCTTTTAAGTCATGAATGATCTAATAATTTACGAAACAGATATTATTAACTTTATTATAAAAACTAATAATTACTACATGCATTAAATATTTCTTTTTAAACTTTTTTTTTTAGTATTATCTTGGCAGAAGTCACTTTTTCTTGATTATTATTAGTATTGTTACCATTATTTTATGTTTACTTTTTAAATTTATAATACATTTTTAAAATTTATCTAGCCTATAAATTAGCCTATCTATTACCTTTACCTATCTATACTATAAATTTTAGCATTTAAAACATCGTAGGTAGATAAGGTATATATATTTAGTATTAATGATATACATATTATTACCTTATAAATAAATACAATTTTTACAAAAATAAAGTCCATACGTATATATTGTTAATTGGTTTAAAATAATAAATAATTTTTAACAATATTTTTAAATAACAATAATGATATATTTTTTTTGATTAATCAGGTACACTACCCATGTTTAAACATGGTACAAACATTGAATACTGAAATAAAAATATAATTATGTGTATTAGTTATGATAAAAAATGTATAATAATAAAAATAATGTTTCATAAATATTTAGACATCTAATTAATGATATTAAATTCTAAACTAAAATATTTTATTACTTAATTAGATTCAATTTAGTTTTTAATGATGTTAAATATTAATTATTATAAACTAAAAAATACAATGGATTTTTAAATTAATAACCATGGTTAAATATAAATGTTTCTTAAAAATTTATAAAGATATTTAAAAAATGTAATATGGTTGTCTTTAACGAAGTTTGTATGTTATGCTGTTATGCATAACTAACATTGTTTTTCAAATTTTCAAATTTTTCATGGTAATTTATTACATTGATATTAAAATTATATTAAATGCTTTGTTCCAAATTAAACAGTTTAGCCCGTCAGTATTTTACAACTGACAAAACAAAATAAGAAATTGTATAGAATTGTCTGCAAAATATATATAGATATATATATTTATATTATATATATACGTAAACATAAAAAAGTCATATGCAAACCCTTTGGGAGCAGTGATAAATAATGTATGCTATTGGATTGAGATTCAAAAAAATAACACTTATCTCAATCTAGCAATTTACATTTTTATGTAATTCAAAGAAATTTCTGAAATTCAAACGTCATTCAATTTTTATTAAATATTTTAAAATTTAATAAATATGATATCACAATAATTAAGTTGAAATTAACAAACATTAAATATTACACGATGCATTATAAATATAATAGTAGTTTTTTTTTTTTTTTTTTCAAAATGTTTTATTTGGAGGTAAGAGTAATTATTTTTTAAACGTCAGCACTTCTGCACAAACTGCTTAAAGTACATTCAAAATCGAATAGAGCATAAGATATGCCAACAAATTTATGTCGCATTTGAACCTAATCTGGTATTTAATTAATTTTTTTAAACAAACTAAATCTATATAACCTCAATAAAAAAATGTATTTTTTTATATAATTGTAATCTTAACATAATTTAATTAATTGCCTCTGATGCTAAAATAATTTAGGATCAATAAAAAAATAAAAAATAATAATATTTCTATTATTACGTATATAAAAATAGTATTATTATTATATAGTTTTTACTTACGTAAAGATAAAACAATCTAAATAAAATATTAAACGTATATTATATATTTTTATAATATTATTATGATTATGTAATATTTAACTAGATGTAATATAGGATAACATTTTTATTTTTATTCAAGTTATTTATTTAACCTAACTTATTGTATAAAATGTAAAAATAAATAATGATAAATGAGAAACTCAGAATTATCATGATTTATAAGTTCTGCCTTTAAAATTTAGTATCTATTAGGTAGATTTAATTTGCATATATTCACTTGAAAAAAAAAAACAAGAAACCTAATTTTTTTATTATTATTACTCATTTTACTGAGTGAAATTGTGAATTTTATCATAGCTAGAGTGATTTTCTTTCATAAGTTTAAGAACATAAATTATTCCAAATAACCTGTGGTTTATGCATTTCTGCGAATTTCGTATATTTTTGTATGCTTTTTTCTTCATCCGGTTTTGGTTCAATGATTGTATATATAATGTCATAAATCATATCTTGCAAATCTTCAGGCAAAAATCTAAAACCGTAGTTAAATATTATGTCAAATTATATTTTAGATTTTAAACGTAGCAAAAATAAAATTAATGAATGTGTTAATTTTATGAAGATATGTGTGTATTTGTGTACACAATAATTAGTAGTAAAAACTTTTGATTTTCAACTTTTAGGGTGGTTTTGGATAGAAAATTAGGTCTAGTTTGTACTTTAAACAGGTCAAATTTCAAAATTTTCCGTACTTTTTTAATAATCGAAAAAATAAATATAAAATTAAAGAAAATCGAATTTTTATACAAATTCAATATTATTAATAAAATAGTTATCTATCTTGTAACTATTTGTTTGTTTCCTTAAATCTTTTACATACATTATTATTACATTTAGATTAATTGTATGATATAACTTTACAGTAAGATGTATTGACTAAAAAATTGATAACATTTTTATAATGTATGGTGTAAATAAATAAATATATTATATTTTTATATGTGTGTATATTATAATTAAAAATAGATATTAATAATGTAATAAATGCAATATTTTCAACAATAATTTAATCAACTTACCATAATGTTAACGATAAAATAAATTACTTTAAAAGAACATAATATCATGAGATGTATACTTAGTAATGTTTGCTGAAAGACTATTTCCGTTCAAAAACATTTATCGTATACAACTATGTATCATTAAATTTAAATTTCAAACCCACAATAGTGACTCACTCGACACTTAATGTACAGCACTACGAAACCTAATTGTCCAACTTTTTATCATATTATTAAATTGCATATACATATACACTAAAATAGTAATAATCATAAAAATATCAGTTGTTCATATCATATTTTATATTCAATTAATATATGTATCTTTATATCCATATTTTATTTTATTATTTCAAACATATATAAACCTTTTGTTCCTCCATTCTGAGAAAAACATAAAATTATTAATATATCTTATAGCAGGTTATAAAACATATTACTGATGTTCTATCCCGATATTGAGGTTTATTTATTTATATTAATAAGTAACTGTATGTAATTTTTTGTGTTAGGAACAGTGCGTATTTATAAATGTTGAACGAGAAAATGTTAGAACTCAGAAACATTTCAGTCTGTTAGATTTAATTACGCGAAATAACACGTTGTTAGGGAAACCAAAAAACATTAATTTTTTTCATCACGCAAATGTTTTTTTTTTTTTGATCCCCAAGCATAAAACATATTAATGTCAAATCTATAAAATGAACATAATATGAAGTATATTTTATTGATTATTAGATTTAAATAAAATGGTTCTATTTACTTTATTAATTGCACGAAGTAAAAGTAATAATCAGGAACTGTAAAAATTCGCTCATTACGTAATATTCCATCGATAATCATTTCGCAAGCATCTTCAGCTGGTAGTTCTGGAAATCTAAATAGGAAAAATTATTTATAAACCATATGGCGTGGTTGATATAATTTGTATAGAGCATACCTTAATGTTAGTCTTTTAGATCTGTCTGGGCAGTTTGCAATAAAATATGGACAAACTGTTGTAGTAACTATGTTTGAATTCATTAATTTAAGTTCGCTACTTAAACTTTCCATCATACCTGTTACAAAAAATGAGTATTAATAAGCTCTAAGTAAATAAAAATAACATACAACAATACTGATAAACACGTGTGTTTTAATAATTTATATTTTAAAACTATTCATTATTGACTTTATTTTTTTAATTTTTTTATCGCCTAATTAATTTTATTTCATTTTATTAAAATAAAAAAAAAATGAAATAAAGCAACTTACTTATTTTAACAGTTATTATAAATATGATATTGACTTGTTTTTAAAATAAAATTTATAACAAATATAACATGTATTTACCGCGTAGGGCATATTTTGTCGAAGTATAAGCAAAAAGTAAAGGTTGCCCTTTCAATGACGTCATCGATGATATTGTTACGATATGGCCACTATTTCTTTCCAACATTGATGGAAGTATTTCCCTAATTACCTGTAAAAACAGTATTTAAGTAAAAAGTGAACGTGTTCAGTTTCAATACGTTTTGATATTCGATAAAGAAAACGATAATATTTGTTTTCCCATCAAGATTTTATTTTTCACGTAAACAATAATCTTTTTATAATTTCCTGAATAAACAATTTTTCAAATTCTGGCCATAGATATAAAAATTCAACTAGTGCACTCATACCCAAAATCTAATATAAAAGTATATAAATAAGTATTAGTAAATCGAAGTGTTGCGTACCCAAATTTGGCCCAGTAAATTTGTATTGAATATATCCGATATAGTGTCGTCAGCTTCCGGATTAGCAAATAATGTCGTTTCGATAACGGCACAATTGTTAACGAGAATGTCTACGGGGCCCATTTGATCTCTTACGGCCGCGTGCATCATCATTACCTGCTCCTTGTCAGTAATATTCACTTTAAATCCTATTGCTTGGCCGCCTTCCGCCTTGATCCGATCGACCGTTTCATTATTGCCCACTTCGTCTTTATCAACGCACACAATTTTCGCTCCCAACCTATGAAATTGTATGGCCAGTTCACGGCCGTTTCCCCGGGCGGTCCCTGTAATCTAGAACGTAAATTATAGGCATTGTTACACGGTATTATTTCTGAATACATTGAACAATATTATTATAACATCATTACAAACAATAGTATTAAAATATATGAAATGACACAAAATTAACCACTGAGCGTGTTAAGAAACGATAAAAAGTGCATATTATGACATTTTTATCAGTTATTTCCTGTAATGCTTTGTTTTTATTAAAATTCAGAAACATAAAAATGTTAGAAAAGTAGTTCTAAAATAAAAATACACCTACATATTGTTTTAAATATTTGTAAGTATCATCAAATTAAGTGGATAAAGAAGATGGGTTGACCTCTATTATCTAAAGTGGATATGTTACATTATTGATTTTGTGATATTAAATTTGAATTCGATAAAAAAAGTTTAGTTCAAAAAAAAAGTACATTTAATACACAAGTATATCAAAACGTAGTTTATCACTGGTATTTTTTTTTTTTTTTTTTAATTAAAAATATGTTATATTTAACATTTGGCGTGTTTGTTAAAATGTACAAATATTTTTTGCAATGATAGTGATTTGTATATTTTGTTTATTTAAATATGAAATATTAATAATATTTACATACCAAAATTAATTTTCCTTCGACATTTTTTGGTTCTGGTGGAAAATAAACATACGAAATTATTGTTCCAATAACTCTTGGAATGCTGAGTATTCCAACTATTATTATTTCAAAAACAAATGTTAATGGCTCCGAAGGTATATTGTACTCATCAATAAAAAAACTTAAAAATGTTGAAACCAAACCCATATTGTTTGGTTTATTTAAAAAATCAATGCCCCAAATATAATGAGTCAATTTCACAAAATGCAAGCTATTATACTAGAACTGAGATAACACGACTAAACACAACTAAATATTGTCACAATATTTTTCAGTTAATAAAAAAAAAAAAAATAAATAAATAAATAAATAATCTTATAATTTGCAATTAAAACGTTAATTTTAAAATTTTGTGTTTCTTTTAGAAAGTTTTAATCAAAAATATGTCCACTTTATAGTAATGAAAAACTTGGTAAGACATTTTATTTTTATTATTTGTAGTTGTGTACTTGGTTCAATGTCACACCAAAAATGTGTATTTAATAAATATAATGAACTATGTTAACGTTTCAAAAACAGTAAATTTAATATTCTGACACCAAATTGTTACGCTTCGTCATAAGTATTATACACCACATTAGTATTGTAATTATTGTAATTTGAACTTATTTAAAACTTATTTATGCGTGCCAACAAGTACTAAAAATATTATTATGATACTGATCGTTGAAAAAAAATAGTGAATACGTGATGATTTTTTGGTGATTGTCATTACATCTGACTTAGAAAAATATTTTGATATTCAATTCTTTTATCGATTGTTAATAGATTTAGATGTTAATTTCAAGGTCAAAAACAGAACATTTTCAATACTTTAAAAAAAAAAAGAAAAAAATCTTTGCAAAATGGGATTATTAACACTAGTTTCTGAAAGAATAACAACATATGCCTAAAAATTTTACAAAATATTTATGTTGTCGTTCACTAGAAATGATAAAATTTTCAAAATGTATACATATTATATAATATATTTAATACTACGTATATCATGTATTGAAATTATATTTAAAAATTATTTGGTATGTTTTGAATCAATGATAAAAATGATTTTTTTTCTAAGTTGAATAACGCATAAATATAATAAACATTTGTCATACTATTTTACAGTAATTAAAAAAATATCAAAAATAATTGATAAATTTTTTAAATTATTATTTAAAATTGTAGTTTTGACGCGTATAATCAATAACAATTCCAGGGTCGCATCAGTTTTTATGAAATTAATTAAAACAGTTTAATAATATTTATTAATACATTCTAACAACATAATAATATAAACAAAATTAAATTATCATGAGTATATGTATTTATTAGTATATCACCCACAATGATTTTGATGATGGTTGAAAATCGTATTTTTATACAATTTATTTATTTAACGTATACAGTAATAATATCTAAATGACGAGGTACACTACATGTAAAATTTATTTACAGGAAAGTGAGTTTATTGGATATTGTGAACTATTAATATTATAATTTTGAAAGCAATAGGATTTTATTTATGTACGTTTTTGGTGTACTTGTCTAACTAAAGGAAAATACTCATTAAAAACTAATAATTTTAAATGTAAAATCAATAGTGGTAACCAGCAATTATTATGGCGTTGTTAAATACGAATAAGTACATACTCAGTTTAATAATTGATAAAATGTCTTAAACATTAATACATTTTCAATATTTATTTATTCTTGATGCTTTTTGATATTTTTATAAAAACAATTGAAATAAATATTAATAATTATAACAGTATTTAATTATTATTTTTTGTTTTTTTTTTTTTTAATAATAATTTAGTTTATTAAATTTAATTAAATAGAAAAATCAAATTTACTTAAAAGTACTCTCAACTGGTCGTTTGGTACATTCCAAATTAGACATTCCTTTTTGAGCTGGGTATATAATAATGATGAGATTATGGAATAAATACGTAGGTGTTTTTATTTAAATCTAGATAATCGATTTAATTAAAATTATGCAACAATATTATATGATATCATAAAACTATAAATATTATATTATTATCTTATATTTAAATAAAAAATATTTAGTAAATAGTTTAAACTTTAAATCAATACTACTATTTATATTTTATTAAACCTGAATAATGTATTCAATAGGAAAATACATGGAATAATATTACAATAATTTGTAATTAATTATTACATAATATTTATATTGTTTAGATAAAAATAAAATGAATACAAATTCTTGCTATTAATGAATATTGTAATAATAATGATTACTATAGTAATATATTAATATTATAATTACAATAATTACTTAGATGATCGTTTCTAGTATTTTTTCAATGTATCGAAGTCACTTCTACAATATTTTTATAAACCTTCGAATAGTTTTTACACCTGATATTGTAATTTAATCGATGAGATTCTGAAGTAAATAATATAAACATAATTATGATTTAGTTCTTAATCAATTATTTTATACTTCATCATAAATAATAATAGATTAACGTATTAGTATCGAAATTATTTTAGTTAAAAAAAAAAAAAAAAAAAAAAAAAAAAAAAAAAAAAAAAAAAAAACTGTTATTTCTTATAAAAATATTACTTGTATACCATAATTTTATTGTTAGACACAAATATTCAAATAATGTAAATGTTTTTTTTATTTTTTTTTCAATGTTATATCAATTGTGATATTGCAAATTACATTATTAAGATGAATAACCGTAAAGCTTAAGCAAACACATAAAAAATATTTATAATAATTATAATGAAAGTAATGTATTTTATGCGGCTAATAGAGCTTCAACCGGATGCACCTATAATATAAAATATTAATGTATGTTTAAGACATAAAAGAGATATAATTTAAATATTGAGAATATTTAATGAATCTTACTACCTATCATTATTGATTTTTCTGGTAAACTTCTGGCAAAATATTAGTTTTAATAATTTACCGTAGAAAAGCCAAATACTAATATTCTTAGCAATTTCTGTATTTCCTAAGTTCTTGATCTTCAAAAAATAATTGTTAAAAATAACAATTAAACGTCATGTTTATATATATAATGATAAAATGAATATTTTATAAATATTGGTTGATAATTATACTTAAATAATAGCTTTTGTGTTATAAAAAAACATTTAATTACATAATGTACAATAAGCAATACATTCAAATAAAAAAAAAAATGATATAAAAACTGTGAGTCAGTCACTTGACAGTAAACACTAAGAAGACGTTATAAACTTATATCCAGAAGTGTTCTCTCCTTATAACTAATTCGAAACATAGCAAATTAATATTCAGCAAAATTATTCGTTTTATGCTATTAATTTTAAAATTATGGTCAATTTATTTATTTTCATACTTAAAGATTATAATATTATCTAAACTATAAGCATCAGGTTGGAATTTATTGATAGATAAAAAACTTGAAAAAAGTAGTAAATTTAATAAACACAAATATAAATTTATAAGTTATAAAGATATTATTTAATGCAATAACAAAAATTGAATTTAAAGAGAAAAATGATTAAATTGATTACTTTTTGCAGAAGGAAGTCATTGAAAATGCGATGGGATAAAATGTCCAATACTCGTTACTACATCCATGACATCGTTTAATGTATTAAATACGATCCATAGATGGACTGGTATTATCATTGAATGTTGTCTGGTTTCAAGGTGTCTTGACATATTACCAAAAACAATGTAATGTCTGGTTGTCAAACGAGATTAATACCATATTATTTGTAATCATTTGGTGTAAAGGTTCATTATAGGTACTTAATAAAAGTATTGACACAATTTTTATTATATTTATTCGAAAAAAAAATAATATAATTATTGTTCTTTGAATTATAATAAAATATCAACTTATTATTTATAATCTTTAAAAATTTAAAATGCGTACGTTTGATCAAGTCTTAAAAATTAAATAAATTATCGAAATTGTATTTGTCAGATCAAGAATTTACCATTACAGAGAAATACAACAAAAACTATGTAGAGTTGTGAGAAATATCGAATTTATGACGATAGTAATTACAAAGAGTGCGAGTAAAATGATCAGTTTGATCAAATTATAGAAATATTTTTACAAATAATAAAAATATGAAACGAGTATGTGGCACATTTTTGTCTGACGATAGCTAATACTTAAATTGCAGTGGATTTTAGAAACATTAATAAATTACGACACTTTAAAATATATAGAAAACGAACTCGCTTTAATTTTATCAACAAATATGTTATGATTAGTTGCATCTAATCGACTACTGATTATTATTTTATAAGAAATTAAAAAATATACTGTTTGATTAAAAAAAAAAAATAAAAATAAGTTTAACTGATTATTAAACTAATTTTTCACTTTTTGTTTAACTATCATAGTATAATATAAAATTAAATTATATAAATCATAACTCATGATGATCATATCAAAAAAAATAAATATGTAAAATAGCTATTAACAGTTGATATCCACAAAAGATACTCTTAATTTTGTATTGCATTGCATTACAAATAATACATCATTATTTCACTTTTTTATTAAATTTATAAATAATAACAAAGATAAGTACTGTAATATTTTTAATACTATTATTTTATTTTCCGATTTTTAACTCAAAAAATATTATCATATGGTATTTTATAATAAATTTGATGTAAAAACTGAATTTACTTAATACTTTGTTCAAGATAAATTTAAAAAAAAGCACACGCATCGATTAGCCTTGTAATTTTATTTAGAACAAAAACTTATTATTGTTTAATATTATCACTTTAAGACATTAAAAAATGTATGTGCAAAAATTACTATTGACTTTTTAAATACTAATTTTATTTTTTTATTTGAACTAAAATTGTGTATGGATATTATATTGTTAATTAAAAAAAAAAAAAAAAAACAATGAAAGTTTGAAATTGAAATAAAATATTTAACATCATATAACATTATATATATAATTTAGTATAATTTATTATTTTATTAAGGACTTGGATTATAAATATTATATTAAGTTGTAAAATGATTTCCAGGTAAAAATGTTAATAGTTAGGTACGTAATAACCAAAACATTAATTAATTGACATAGACATTACGTGTAAATACTAAAAAAATTCATAAAATACGAGTATACCATTAAATTTTTAATTTTAAATTTAAAAAGCATTTTCTTTAAAATAGTTTACTCTTAAAAATAGTTAGTATATCATTTCTGTGAACAACAAGATGCTGGTAATTTATTAAAGGATAAATTTAATAGTCAATTTACTATTTCCAATGTAGCCAATACTCCTATGTTAATTATTATTTTGAGTTGATTCTTGTCTTTATTTGCTTATAATCTGTGCTTAGATAAACATAATTAATAATAGAAAAAATCGCCCATTTTGAGTAACTTTCGTGATAAATATATTTTGATCTTTGACCATACTACTTAAAAAAAAAATATATGTTCACAAACTTTATGTGTTAATAAAAATAAATTATTTATAGAGTAAAATGTAATCTTAATACATTTTCTTGTCAGGCCGTTATCTAAAATGTCTAAATAATTTAAATTATTATATTTATTTTTTTAAACGAATAAGATATTTTAAAATCACAAAGTACAAATACATTTTATTGCAAAAAAGAACAATAAAGCAGTGAAATGTAAAAAATATTTAAATATAATTAATAATTTAATGACAATTCAATTCAAACACTAGTTTTATCGTTTATATTTATTTAAAAGTATCTCTTCCTCGGGTACTCTAAGAATTCTTGTGTAAAATATGTTGTCGAAGAACGTTTGCAAGTTGTCCGGTAACAGCCTGAAAGAAAAAAACATGATATATTGCATTTATTTTCTCTCATACGTATCATATTAGAAGAGCGATTAGAGCCCAAACAAAGTTATTCTCATACCTAATGATTTTTGATATGGTGAGCATGTGACCAGGAACTGAGAATATTTTCCGTTCTTCTAGTATTCCTTTCATCATTTCATCACCTGCAATGTGTATAGGTATTTCGGGTAATCTAAACACACGTTCACCAGTTATTAATAAACAATATATAATGTAACGAGCATAAAATATAGTGGCTCGTATATTATGTTTTTTACCTGATATCTAAAAACGATGAAACTTTCTCGTTGGTTTTCACAAAATACGGCAATATATTCGTGGTCTTCACATTTGAGTTGAATAGTTTCAACTCGTTATGCAAACATTCCATCATACCTACATACATCATACATTGAGTGCAAATGTTAATAAAATATTAACTAGTTATAAATAAAAAAATACAAAATGATAACCCTATGAAAAAAGAACATTATTTTAACATTAAAAAAATACATAAAGGTAAGTCTTAAAACAATTAAAATTTATATTAGTTTTTTTTTTTAATCGTTTGAAATTGACGACACGATGAATTGATTAAGAAATAAAATAACTGTAACATACTATTTTTAAATTTCATTATTTTTTTTTCAATGATATTTACTTCATTATACTGTGAACGCTACAGAATAAAAAAAACACTCATACAAGACCGTTTGATTTCAACCATCGTATTCAATATTTTTGTACACATGTGGTTGAAGATTTAAAAAAAGAAGTATAACTATTTAAGAAACACCTCACAAAAACGTTTTTGATAGTTAACATTTTTGAATCTATTAAATTATAATGAAAACTTTAGAAATATTTACCATTTATACCCCATTTAGAAATCGTATACGTGGATAAATTAGCTACACCCGCCATTGAAGACAACGAAGACATAGCTACGATTTGTCCACTATTTCTCTCTAACATTGATGGAAGAATTTCTCTATTCATCTGTATAAAAATATGAACAATAAACAAATATATCAATATATATGAATGAATTTCTGTTATTTTATAATCATTTATTGTATATAATTATGTAGGTAGCTAAACTGATATTAATACTACTAACTGATTGTAATACAATATTTTATAATTAAGGTTGGGATTTAAATGTGATGTCATTTTTTTCAAGTGGTTTTAAACATAGTTTTTCAAAAGGAAATTTTATTTTAGACAATACTGTTAAATTGAATGTATCTTTTATTTTATTTTTTTATTTTTTTTATTTGAAAAAATGCAAACATTTTTTTTTCCATGTTTTAGAACGTTTTTTAAATTTTCAATAATATAGTTAATGGAAATTTTTCTTAACATATATAAATAATTATTAATACAATTTAAATTATTTAGCGATGATTATCAAAATGTCTGTATTTACTATACAACATTTAATCTTGTAATTAAATTCTTTCTATTGGTTTGAAATATTTGAATACTTGAGTACCTACGTCATGATCAGATAATGTTGGAATAGTATTATAAGTGAATATGTTACATTTGCCAACTGATGTTATTGTATCTTTATATAACTAAAAGATATTATTAATATTATAATTTTAGTTTGTTTTCAGAGACTTGCTGACAAGACCGTTTAGCTAGTCACGCGTATATATTTTCTCTGATTATTTGAATGTAACTCAGCAATTCTACACTTTTAAAATTAAAATCGGTATTTATTTATTTTTTTTTTTCATTTTGTATGACAAGTTTGATTTTTAAAATATTTTTATGGTTAAAACAATAAAAGAAAAAAAGATAAGTTTATTTATTATATTTTTTTTCAAACCATGATTAAAAAATTAAATTACCTAATTTTATATTATATCTATATTATGATTATTTTTAGTTTATTAATTAACACTAAAACAATATTATTTTTATAATTTGTTTTTACTTTATAAAAATGAATAAATACAATATAAAGGTGTTATAACTTATATTATTAATTTTTCTGTAGTTTTAGGGTATTTTAAATGGATGTTAAACATTCGAACGAACAAACAAAAAGTTTCTATTATGTAAAACTTACCCAAATATGAGCCATAAGGTTAACATTGATTTGGTCCGTGATAAATTGATCCTTTGAGGGGTTTATGTACAAATGTCCCCACACAATGCCAGCGTTGTTGATGATTATATCAACTGGGCCTAAATCTTTTTTAACCTTTGAGTGCAGAGTTTTTATTTGATCCTTTTTTGAAACGTCACATTTATAGCTAGTGGCCACGCCACCAAAATCTTTTATTATTTTAGCCGTTTCATAGTTTTCCGTTTCATCGATATCTACGCAAGCAACTTTTGCTCCCAATTTACCAAACCTAGTCGCAAGTTCACGACCTATTCCCCGACCAGCACCTGTGATCTAAAAAAGTTAATTATTCAATTAAATTAAAAAAATATATTATTATTCAATTAATTATTAATTAAGTTTTTTAATTGAGGTAATTCTATGCTATAAATACTTACGGTTTGTTAAAAAATAAATTGAATATTTGATACATCATCATAAATATCAATAAATAATACACTTTATTATATTAAGTGCTTTTTAAAAGTCAGACTCAAAATAGTTAAGGTTACAATTTATAATACCTACTCCGCTTATTAGTTTATTATAAGTACATACTTATTCACTGTGTTAATAACTTAGTTATCTACTTGTAATGTAAAATTACTATAAGTTTATGCATTATTTTTAATTATAAAACTATTAATAACATTTAATATTGCATTGAAAATAACTATTAATATGTATTTAAAATATTTTATGAATATTTTATATGATAAAACAATAAAATCATTTACAAGTTTTGATATAATTTTTTTTGTGACGACCATTGTAGGTAGTAAACTATTTAATAAATTGTAAGAAAATATGATAAACTGAAAAAAAGATAAAATAAAAAAAATATTAAAACAAACTATACCTCAAAAAGCGAATTAAAAATATTCTTAACTGTCAAAATAAAATTTAAATTTTTTTACACTTTATTTCACTATTGCAATTCCGTTTTCATAAATATAAAAAATTACGCATAACTACATGATACTTTCTATATTTCTTCGTATTATGTAACTCGTTATTTTAGATAAAATATATAGTATATACAACAACCCTTAGCGATTTCCTTATATCATGAACAGTCGTATTGTATTGCATTTAAATAAATATACCACCCATGGCTCGTTTTAGGTGTTCAAAAAATACATATACACAATATACATATATATGTGTGATAATATCATAAGGATATTTTAAAAATATTCCTCACTGTCAAAGAACAAAAATAAAAGCTTGATCTAGATAACAGCCCTACGTAGGGTACCTTTTATTTGCATCAAGTACGTATGCTTTTTTATTTAGGGTTATGTTTTTTGAAACCCATTCATAATGGTCGAAACGTGCTTTGATGGTAAACGAACAAATCAAATATAACACACATGTACATATTATACGATATACCTACCAGTTTTATCATCTGAAAATTTATACTTAAAATGTAATGTTTAAAATCTCCTATCAAGTAATATATTATATAAAACTAAATGATATATTTTGTATCATAAATTTATAACTGATTAATATTAACAATTGAAAATTTACAGCCTTATCTTACTAATTCAAAATATTTTTATGATACGTGAAAATGCTGTTCTATGATTGACCAACAAGTGAATTAATTTTGATGAAATTTATCTATATTGAAGTAATCTAATATAGATGCTGTTGTAGCCGTCAAGTATTATTCTTTATTACTTTTGAAAAAAAATTAAAAGTGTTAAAATGTTATGATTTATTACAGCTCAGTGTAGCAACTAAACTACTATTCAGAGATAATGTAACAATTTTTTTTTTTTTTTTTTTGTACTAGACTAATAAGGAACTGGACATGTCGCGTATATCATATATTTTATAATGTGTGTAATAACTAAAATTTTTACAAACGAAAAAAAAAATATTTAGCTTTGATCATTTTTTTGACCTTTTTTCGTTGTACTATATTGGGTCACTATTAATTGTGTGCTATTTTTAATTTTTTTTTTTATGTAAATTTTTATCTAGTTATATTGTTTACATGTTATGCAAATTATGTTAATGTTTAAAAGTATTTTTCAAACAATGATATTTTTCTATTATTTCCAGATGTTATTAATTTTGTTGTGTATTACATTTTCAATCAAACACGTATTATAAAAATAAACTTATGATAGTTTTTACACAAAGCTTAAACGAATATATGTATTAGATTCTGAGCACATAATTCTGTATAAATTTTCAATAATGTGTTTTTTCTGTCTATTATCACCTTTAAAGATAGTAAATATTATGACATTTTTAACTTTGGAGATATTTTATGATAAAACATTGAATTTAATAAGTATTTTCTAGAGTAAAATGTAAAAACATTCAATATTTTGCTTTATAATTAGGAATAACAAAAAAACTGATATACTTGAAATTGTTACCAAATGGTTAAATTTTCTATACGTGATATAATTTTTAAAATATTTTTACTCTTTTTAAAACTTTATTCATCAATAACTAAAATTTTCATTTTTTTTTTTCGTATAAATGTTTGGGTGAAGATACTTAAAATTTTAATTTTAATATCTTAATAAGTTTTTAATTTTCCAATTAAAAAATATATTTTATTAGTCATTTTTATTTTTTTAAGCGTTTAAAGTTAACATTTTGACAAACTCTTTAAAATTTCAAAAATTACCAATAATTTGTTAGTTAGAAATTCAAAACAATGAATATTCACCAGTAGTGTTATTATTTTTCTTCAAACGATTCATCATAAACAATGTAGTTCTATCAAACCACACTACTGTAAAAATGTTATTGTTATTCTAAAAAAAATATTTTGTTTCAGAATATAAAATTAAAAATATATGCCATAATCGTTTCAAAAGTAGAAATATAAAAAAATTAAAATTAAAAATGGTAAAAATATAATTTTATAAAATGATTTGAAATTATGTACTATAAAAATATATTATTTGTTATTATTGACTTTACAGAGTAATAAATATTTACTTTTATAAAATTCACTTGTTAATTAAAGTTATTTATTCACATCAAAATAAATTATTCTCCTTCTATATAGAATTACGAAAGAAAGCACATTTAAAATTCTTAAAATAATATATTGATATGTATTTGAGTATAAGTATACATTTGTCGACGAATTCACAACTTGCGACAATGCAACTACTTTAATGATTCACGATAGTTACAATATAGTAGTTATAAATTATTATAAAAGATTATTTAAAACAATTTAAATTCAATAAAAAACGTCAATTAGTGAGTGATCCGTAAACTGATCGGTCAACGTATGTTACCTTGAGCGTATATAGTTGCGTGTGTGCCAAGTGCTTATAAGTTGTAAATGCTTAGTCACCTTGAAGTTCTTTGGCCATTAATTAGTTTTAGTTTTTTACATGTCTTTTAATCATTGACGATGATCGACGGCCGTGGTTATGAGCAATGTCTAATATCTAATATATAAAGATCTCGTGTCATAAAGTTTGTTACCAATCTCCTCCGAAACGGCTGGACCGATTTTCATGAAATCTTTTGTGTATATTAAGTAGGTCTCAGCGAGTGATGTAAACTATTTTTTATACTCCTAGGTGTAAAGGGTGACTCACCCCAACCGGTCACAATGTTTGTTACCAAACTCCTCCAAAACGGCTAGACCGAATTTCATGATATCTATTGCGGATATTAAATAGGTCTCAGAGAGTGATTTAAACTAGTTTTCATACCCCTAGGTGTAAAGGGTGGCTCACCATAAATATTTATAACAACTGTTGGATATCGGTGATGGAAAATAAAAAAAAAAATAAAATATAAAATATAAAAATAATAAACATAATAATATACAACAGTTGTTACCAGGGAACTATAAATTGTATATTTACAATTATTTACGTACGTTTCCATATTTTTTCATAATATTAAACAACCGCGTATTTATCGCATTTAACGAATTCATCAAAAACGACTCGACCGTTGAATGGGTCGGTCCAACACAATAAGCTTTCTTTCTCATTTATAAGAAAGGTTAATAATCACATATATTAACTTTAATTGTATCGATTTGTGTATTTTGTACAATGCCAGCAAGACGCAAGGGGTCTGATTTGGCCCGTCGAACGACCAAAAGTACAATCATGCGAGATAGAAAAGCACAACCGAATAATGAAAATGTACGTGTAAACATGGTGCGATTGCATGAGGCACAAGTTGAACAAAATCAAAAAAGACGATTAGAAGCGCGTCAAATCGTAGTTGACACACGCAGAGCAAATGACCGACAACGCCAACAAGTACATAGAGCATTTACATCCAATTCATTCCTTCGTCTAGCATTCGAGTATGGGCTCGATATTAAATATTATGCTCATTCGAAAGTAGATATTGGTGCTATGGACAAGGAATGTCCGCAATGTAATGCGCTTAAGTTCAAAAATGAGCCAGCTGGTATGTGTTGCGCGTCAAGAAAAGTGCAACTACCGGAAATTGAAACACCACCTGAACCATTGAACGGTTTACTTATCGATACGGATCTAGATTCTAACCTGTTTCTGAAGTCAATTCGAACATTCAATTCATGTTTCCAAATGACATCGTTCGGAGCAACAGAAATAGTTAAAAATAATGCTGCAAATGGTCAAAAATTTAATTCAATATTCAAAATCAAAGGCCAAGCTTATCATAGAGTGGGCTCATTGCTACCAATGCCAAACGAACTACATACATTTTTACAAATTTACTTTATGGGCGGTGAGAATATTTGGTGTTTTGTTATTTTTATGGGCTGTCATCATTCACAGTGTTCCATTCACCTCAGTCATTCACTAGTATACGACATTCCCTCTCACAATAATTTAATTATTTTTTATTTTAATATCAAAATATTCATTAGATATAATTTATATGGCAAAACAACGTTTGCCGGGTCAGCTTGTTATATTATAATGTTGTATATATTATATATATTATTTTTATTTAATGTTTTATTATGCATATAACGTTAGGTACCGTTACTGCTCACAGTTCACGTTTCGTGGTAAACAAACAAATAATATGTGTATCGTTAATTGCGAAAATTCGCTGAGATGGATTTAAAGTCAGAGTTAAATAAAAATTCAATATTCATAAACTCACCAACACGACTTGTTCTTTAACGGATTTAGGCTTCACCGGTATGAATTTTTTCAAAATTGCCCACAAAATTCCCGGCACCAACAGAAAAATAAATACTATTAGCTGGAGCACGATCTTCGACGGGTTGGGCGCCAAATTATTGAACGACATGACATATGTAACCTACAAGATAAACGATTATGATTTTTCGCTAAATGTACGTGTTTCAGCGTACACGGTCGACACTTTAATAGTGGACAAGAATATCAGTAGTTACTTCACTGTTCGATATAGACCCACGTGAACAGTTGTAATGGCTGTGGTACAAGTAAACCTTGACGTCGATTATTTCCTGGGAAAACGGATTAACAGTAGTTAGTAAATATTATACCAATGCCTTGAAATGAACGTCACGTCCGAAATAGGTGAAAGTCATATCATATCACCATCGTCGTATCATTTTTGCGACACTATATCATTGACGATATATATTTATCAACGCACTTGCAACAACTGTATAATGTTGTTGTTTATGTATTAAATAACTATTATAGATTATCTATATTTATCTCGATATAATGACGTACATAGAGTTTCCCCTGGCCCAGACTTCTATAAGTTATATCATGTTGTAAGTACATCTTATAATATTTTATATATTACAAGAGTATATCAATTATTAAGTAGCGTTTTATACTATGATCAAAGTAATAAATTTATTGATTTGATGATGAATTTTTATCACGTTTTGAAACAACAATAACATATGAAATATATTTAATGGTATAAATTGACACAACGCTCTCTCTGCTCAAAATAATTTTATTTATTTTTTGTAAAATTATTTATATCATTAAATTTTAACTTAACACAACCGTTACAGTGACGCTTTAAACACATAATTTACAATAAAACGGTAGGCACCTACCTCCCCCCCTCCCCTATCCGAACGACGTTTTTTATTTATTATTATTATTTCTGATAACTAAAACCTTTATTTTAATAAATATAATGTAATTTCGACAGTGGATCAAAATAATGTCCATATTGTAATTCATGTTTAATAAGATTGACGTAGATACAAAACTGCTAATAGTTATAACTACGGTAGCAGTGTGGACCTAATTACAATATTAGTTATCTAGTGAAGGATTTAGATTTCATATAGATACGATTTTTGACTTGAGGGTTTAAGCGAGCACTATTGTAAAATTATTTTATTATTATAAAAACGCGTTTGGTTTAAAACTCTAAAAATATTTATTTAATATATTTTAATGATTTACTTACTTATTAATTGGAAGATGGTTGTTATTAACTGTTTAATTTTAGGTTCACTTGCGTTGATAGCTAATATCAAACTAACAGCTATAATACAAACTCTAAATTATTGTATAATATAATATCAGTATAAACATTTTAATTAATTCAAAATTTGAAATGTGCAGAGTGTGAATATTTTATGCTGGTCAATTGAATAGTAAATAGTTTATACACAAGATGCTATAATTAATGTAACACTAAGATAACTGAAAATATTACACTCCAAATTAACCGCTATTGTTCTTATCCATTATACCTAAACGCATAAATACATGTTGAATCTTTCAACACTTATTATTTCAAAATATATCAATGCATTTTAATATATTTTTTTATATATAAATTAATATCGAAATAAAACAATATTAAAAAAAAAAAAAAATTATAATTTTTGATATTTTTATCGTTATAATTTAAGTTTTTACTTTTTTAAATTATAACATACATTTTTAATTTAGAAGAAGGATATTTTTCGTAATTTGATCCAAAAAAAAAAAAAAAAAAACATCGTAAATTATATAAGAAATATGTTTTCATAACCGTTAATTAATTTTAAAATAATAAAAAATACTCGATTACAGAATTAACATTTACTTAGATATATAGTACATATTTTCCGCCATCAAAGCTAAAGTAAAATTATGACAATAATATCATATATTATAAGAGTAATTTTTATGTTTTAGTTTTTTCCACGCTATAATTTATTGTAGGCAACGCAAATAAATGTTTTTATTAAATTTGACTATAAATTCTCTAAAACACCTTATAACTTAAAAAAAAGAAACCCAATAATAATTATCGTAATTTGCTTCCGTGAATGTCACAATGATCAAATCAAATACTTGTAGTTATTTCGATGAAACTATGACCAGAATTTTTTTGCATACCCTTAGATTTAATTTACTAATATAAAAATACCTATTAAAATTTTTAATGTTATTATCATTATTATTTATTAGTTAGGTAATTAATTAATTTACTCCATAAATAAATAGTATTCTTGTCAAATGAATTATACGCATCATTTGCATCAAAGATGCATGCATCAGTTTTTGTATTGGTCTTTCAACACAAAATTTAGCATGTGAACTATAGTTAATTTTTAAATTCAAGTATAATATAACGAAATACCTTACACGTTTTTTGCGCATGATATATAATAAATACAATTAAAATATTTTAACTTGCATTTAATGTATTTCAGTTTTAAATCTCTATTTTAAATCACTGGAAGATTTTTATCAGATTTACTATATTCAAGTAACAGCCTTTTATTTGGTTTTGTATAAATTAATATACTAATATTTTTTAGATACCTATATTTTATTATAAAAAAAAAAAAAAAAAAAAAATACATATGGTGTGTTATTATGCATTATTGATTTGAACATCTCAATTAGTATTTATTTTGTTTTTTTTTTCGCAATGTGACACTAAAAATTATCTGACAATCAACTATAAATAAAAAAAAATATAACAAATCGCAAAATGATCACTATCAAATAATGTGATACAATAAGTTTAAAAAGGATCATATAATATTCAATTAAAAATTTGTAAATAATAAAACAACAAGAAAACAACTACAATAATATATTTTTTTTCAAAATAAAAAAATGCATTTAACCATAAACTAACCTATTTTTAAAAAGAAGTTATTTTATAAAATATTAACAATGTCAAAGGTCATAAGAGAATTACTTTTCTTAAAGGTCAATTTATTTTTTTTGGATATTTTCCAGGAAAAACTATATATCAATAATTAATATATTTACTTAAAATATATTTCTTTAAAACATTTTTAGCTATTGATCAAAATATTTAGTACAGTTGTAATAATTTATACACAAATATATAAATAAAATAATAACTAATGAGTAACTTCTTTAATAAAAATGATCCATCTACTTAACAATTATATCATGATAATATATCCTTATTGTACATCTTATTGTGTTAAATGTTGTACATATAATATAATTGTTTACTGTTAACATTAAGTATATTCAATTTTTAGATTTATTTTCAATTAAAAACAGTAGACATTTTTTATATTCTTTTTATGTTAATTTCAGTTTATTATCAATATACGTGTAATTTGTATTTATTTTTTATTTTATATGGGCACTTAGGTACCTACTTGCACGAGTTACATCAACTATAAGACATAGATAGAGTATAAATTATAACCTCATAAAATGTACTTTTTTATTTAGTTATATTAGATACCTAAACATTTTTGTATATATTTACAATTAGCACGACAAGAGTGTTTTAGTTAATTATGTTTGCAAATTGCATTTTTTTTTATATAGAAATTTACTGACGTCACATTGTCTGCACAAATAAAATAAATTTGTATTTCATAATCAAAATAGTTTTAACTTGGTCTATAGTATTCTACAAGAAATATATTATAATTGTTTCGCTAGTACCCTGCCCAAAAAATATTTCCAAACTTACCTTTCCAGATTACCTTTATTTGATAAAGCACCACTAGTATAATTTTATAAATCCCCCACCTATTTACTATAAAATTACTATAATAACTAACATTTAAATAATATTTTAATATAAAAATAATAATATTTATACTTATTAAGTTTAATTTTTAAAAATATGTTAGATATATCAAATTAAGCAAGCTATACTTGTAGAACTGTTATTCGTGTACGAATTAAAAGTCGTAAACAAAAGCGTATATAATATGATAGCGTGTAAAATCGGATGTGATAGAAATCTTACAGTTTATAATTTTCATAATTTATGACCAATAGTATAAAAGCTAAAATCTAGATAACAGTCTTCATAACATGTCAATACATTAAATTTAACTGTGTATTAAAACCGACTTCAAAGCATAATTTATAAAATTTAATTATTTATATATTTATTGGAGAGCTTCATTGGAATAATGGAACTTGTTAAAATGTTTCAATAAACGATAAAGCACTTTTGTATATACAAAATATACCCAATATATATTTATAAACATGTGTTCTCTTTCATAATGGTACTCAACATTTATATGTCAGTTATCTTTTTTTTATATTTTTACTAAAAAAAAATATGAATGCAATTTTAACAAACAGTTTTTGGGTCATTGAGTATCAATTGTCCATGGATTGAGGGGATGGAGAAAAAGGACAACGCGTACAGACATAATACCAATTGTTATCAGAATATGCATTAAGATGTTTGTTCCTGTTTATTCTAGTGGAAACATATACCTGGGGTCAGAAAAATATCACCGACAGAAAAGATTTAATATATCATCATTCATCAAACACTTTTTTTTTTTCGAAAAAACGTCTAAGTCCAATATATTACATTATAGCATTTAAATGATAATTATATAAAAAAAAAAAAAAATTCATACAACTTAAGAAATATTTTTTATTAGTTAATATATAAGACCGTAGAAATATAATGATATAAAATCTACTTGAACATTAAATTTAACTTAAAAACCGTGTTAGAAGTTGTATGCAAATATTAATTATGAAAACTATTGAAAATTTAACTGGTTAACCGCATGATACCTTAACGATTTAAACCTATTATAGGAATTTAAAAATAATAAATAATAGTTATTGTATGTTTAATATAAATATTTAATCTACGATACACTGAAACATTGTTATCGTAGTTTAACAAAATCATGTATAACATATTTTAATTTTTCGATATAGAAAGTATCTATTCAGCATTATCAAGCAATATATCAAAATTTTTAAGTAAATAACGAAATACAAATAACTAATTTAAAAATACATAATATATTATTAGCACAATATACATTGTTTTTAGCAAAACAATTATTTTGGTTTCTATTTATTATTTTTATTTTTTCATTCAAAGAAACGAAAGTAGGTTCCTACATTTAGCAACATAATAAATCGTTTGGAACTTTAAAAGCTAAGGTTTAAT